ATAAATAAATAAATAAAATCTTTAAAATAAGTAAATAAAGTATATGAAGAAAAGTATCTGCCTGAGCACACATTGTAAAATACATCTGGAGCAAAAAAATCCTCCAAATCAAGTGATACAAGCCAATCCAATTTAAAAAACAAAAAACCATGGGCTTGTCAACTTAGAGTCCCAGAGAATCCTTTCCCGACGTCACCTGGGCAAAGCAGAAAGCTTTAAGGCAAGTAGCACGGACCGGGGTGCCCGGCCGGGAAGCGACGGACTCTCCGTTTCGGCTCAGGTCATGATCTCAGGGTCCTGGGACCAAGCCCCGCGTCAGGCTCGCCCCTCTCCCTCTGCTCCTCCTGCCTCTCTCTCGAATAAATAAATAAAATCTTAAAAAAAAAAAAAAGAAAGAAAAAGAAAAGAAAAGAAAAGAGCACAGATTGAAAGTAGGCTGACCAGAATTTGAAACTAGGTTCTGTCAACAACTGATCATGTGACCTGGGGCAAATTACTTAACTTCTTTGAGGTTCTGTGTCCTCATTTTACAATGTTGTGCTGAGAACTTGATAGATCATCAGCACAGTTCCAAGCACACAATAGGTGCTCAATAAATCTTGTTAAGCAAAGTGAGTGAATAACATACGTAAGATAACCAGCATATACAAGAGTTTAATAAATATTAATTCCCTTCCCACTCTGCACCTTCTCACTTTCACTTCAGTGTATGTGTTGCCCTTTGGTGAATTTTTCCCCTTCAAGGTTACTCCTGAAGGTCACCAAAGCCTATTTTTAACCAGAAAAAAAAATAATTAAGGCAGAAAGGGAGCATGCAGTGGAAATATATTCACTTTAGCTTCCAAACCCCCGAGGGATGGCCTTGTTTTTCTATTTGTTTGGTCAAAAATAAGTCTGTCTAATGTGGTTTAATGGAGAAAATTTTAAGATGTTAATTTTCGAAACTATCTGTAGTGTTGCAGAATGAATTGGAGACAACCAACAGAGAGCAGCCATCACTAAACCATGCTTTAGAATCTTCTTGTACTTTTACTATGTGAACACACCATGGACCAGTAATTGAGCATATAGCTTTAACCTCTGACCAACCTATATCAGAGTCCAAACTCTTACCACTCATTTTGTGTGTGTGAGCTTGGGTAATTTATTTAACCAGTCTGAGCCTCAATGTGCTTATCTATGAAATGTGTTCAAAAAATGGTACCCACCTCATGGGCTTGGCAAGGGTTAAATGAAATAATTACCACACGTAGGTGCCTGGCACAGGGTTCACTCTCAACAGATTGTAGCTATTATTATCATCTCATTTAATATTACCCTGAAAGGTGGCTAGCTTTATTGCCTCTGTTTTACAGACAAGGAAACAGAGTCTTGGATGAAGAATCTAAAACTATTTAGCACATCACCAGGCAAATGCTAAAAACTCAAAATATGTGACCTTAAAAAAAGACAAATCGATGGTCTCCAACCAGTAGATCAGGATCTATGATTAGAATTTAAAGGCAGGCACTGACCCTTTATAATACTCTGCATGCATTTTGTGTAGGAAGAAGAAACTTGAAATGACCTATTAACTTTTCTGTCTACTCCTATGTGCTGGGAGGGTATGGCTAGAGATCTAGGCAGCCAGCACATAGGCATTGTAGGGTGCTCAGTAATTATTTGGTTATTCAACTAAGTGTAAGGGGTGAGCACACAGGGACTCTGTTCTGGATCTTCCTTGCCAGGAGCTATATCGGCCCCCATTCCTGTCCCAACCCCCCGCTTCATTGTGACTTCCTCCCTCATCTTGAAGCTTCAGGAAAATCAACACAGGGCCCTCCTCACTGAAAGGTGAGAAGATATATGCCTTAAACAAAAAACTTGAGCCTTCCTTGAAATCCCAACCTTGCAAATTTCACCTGAAGTTTAAAAAATGGGCCATTCACTGGGGTGCCTGGGTGACTCAGTTGGTTAAGCATCTGATTCTTGATTTCGGTTCAGGTCATGATCTCAGGGTCATGAGATTGAGCCCCACACTGGGCCTGGAGCCTGCTTAAGATTCTCTCTCTGCCCTCCCCCCACCCCGCGCTCTCTCTTAAAAAAAAAAGTGAGCCATTCACATATAATTGAGAAATTGTGGTAGAGTCTTTATTAAAGGTAGGTTCTTGAAAGACTGTAACATTTTTAGAGATAGGAGGACTCTTGTTGTTTTGGAAAAGAACATGTTGAAACCTAAATAAATCAATAGTTAAGCTTTGGAGAGCTTAAACAAATATTTTGACTTACAGTAGAAATATAAATATAATCTTAAAACTGTATTCACAAATGATTGCTCTTCGTCAACTAGTAAAATCAAGCCCAAATTTGAATGTCCTTTTGGGGAGTATAGTTTGTTCTTTTCTTATATCTGTGACAAAACAAACATGTAGGAAAGAAATTTGAAAATTTAAAAATGAAAGCATGTTTGACTGTCACTTTGTGCCTTTCAGAGATGAGGACAACGGTCTAGAAAGAGGAATGTGAAAGTATATAATATAAATACATACAATAATAGTGAAGTATAGAATGCTAGAATTCTGGCCCAATCAAGTACTATCATGTGAGGTTGAGCAAGTCACACACACACACACACACACGCACACACGTACAAGCCGTATATATACACATACATGATGGTAGTGAAGAATTAAATAGATGGAGTCTGTAAACTACTTAGCGCAATGATGCATGCTACACAGAATGTGCCCAGTAAATGGTAGCTTTTATTGCCAGAGAAAGAAGGGTGAGAGTTAGAGGCAAATCCCTTGTAATAAGTTCTCATATCCAAGGGCTCAAGTCTTCAGAAGATGGGTCATAGAAACAGAGTTTTATTTGCAGGTTTAGAAGGAATTGCCAAGAAGACAGGCGGCTATGATGTGAGCAAAGTGTGAGATTTAGAATTAGAAGAACCTACACCCCAAGTCCCAACCCTAATTAACATTTCTAAGCAGTGAGCACCTGGATTAGTCACCTATCATCTCTGAGATCTGGGTTCTCCATCTGAAAACAATTCCCAGGATTTTTCTAAGTAACAAGAGAAATACGTGGATGATAGCCCTTCATAAATCGTGAAGTACTCTTAAAAACACTAGTCCCTTTGTCACTGGTCCTATCCTCGTCGTGCCCTAAGGATACAGTGCTGTAAGGGAGGTGCCAGGTTTCCCAGCAGATGGACTGTGGATGTCTCATAACCTTCCAGCCACTCTGTGTCAGAGGCTGAGCCACCGACATTTCAGGGTGGAGGAGGACATGAAGGAGAGCTCTGGCACAAGGAAGGGCTAGGTCAGCTATCCCAGGTTGGTCAAGCAAGGACCCCTTCACCAGCTTTCATCCTCATCAGGAAAACTCACCTACACTCTCAGCTGTCTCACAGAAGAAATTCCTCTCCCAAAGAATCCAGGGTCTTGGGAGAAAGAAGGCTGGAGGAGGAATGCTCCTGCTCAGCACTTCTCCTCAGAAGATATTCCTGTGAGGAGAACAGACTTTTTCCACCTTCACATCAGGGCAAACAATCGGCATGTTTCATGAGCTCTTTCTTACAGCAGCAGTGTGGTGTCATGGAAAGAGCTTCGGAGTGACTCAAGGCTTGCCTCAAAGCCCCTGTCCTTTAATTAATGTGTGACCTTCAGCTGATCGATACTTCCCTTGAACTATGGCCTAACTAAGCTAACTAAGGAAAGCCCTGAAGATGGAGGAGACATCACTTCTTAGCACACCCTGTTGCTCTTAGAAGCCATGCTTTTCGTTTCCAGTTAGATTCCATCTTGAATTGGTCTCCAAATGTTTTTTCCTGAGTTATTCTAAGCTCTCCTATTGTTTTAAGCTCCAACGCTATCTTCTTCGACTGAGACATTAGTGCCAAGGCCTGAATCCAGCACATAGGTTCTCAATACATGCTTGTTAAGTGACTGACTCTAGGAATTAATTTTTTTTTTAAAGATTTTATTTATTTATTTGAGACAGAGAGAATGAGAGAGACAGAGAGCACATGAGAGGGGGGAGGGTCAGAGGGAGAAGCAGGCTCCCCGCCGAGCAGGGAGCCCGATGCGGGACTCGATCCCAGGACTCCAGGATCATGACCTGAGCCGAAGGCAGTCGCTTAACCAACTGAGCCACCCAGGCGCCCTCTAGGAATTAATTTAACATGCACCGTAAGCTCCTGAGTGAAGCCCCCAAAGTACACAGCCCAACACAAAGCAAGTGCTCAAGAAACAAGAATTGATTAATTCATCAATTCAGCATTTATCATCTCTTCCTCCCACTTGATTTTCATCTTCTTTGCTTTGGGAAGTTGAAATTTCTGGCCATGGTTTCCATTTCCCAACTGTCACCAACCTCTAGTACAAATTACCATATTCTTGGAGGCTTCTGGAATCTCTCCTGATGGGTAGGGTTTCCAGATTTAGCAAATAAAACTTCAGGACACCAAGGTAAATGTGAATTTCAGATAAACAAGAAATACTTTTTTTAGATATAACTATCTCCCATATAAGCCTTTGGTCATACTTGTACCAAAATTTTTTTTTACTGTTATCTGAAATTCATACGTAACTGAGATCTGTATTTTTACCTGGTAACCCTTCTGAGAGGGTCTTACCATAAGCAACGATACCAACATGGATGTTGTCATTTCTCAAAATTACACCTTTGAGAATCTGTGCTCATTGATCAGTTGGTTCCCAAACATCCCCAAGGAGACAGAAAGCTGCTTTATCTTCCTTTAAGCACAGGCCTTGCTCACAGTCATGTGTTGGGGAAGAGAGACTCAAGCCCCTCGGTTTCCTGCTTGCATCAAGCTTCCTTCATTCCACCAGGGAGCTGCTCTCTCCCATGCCAGCCACTGGATAGGTGTTGTGGATCTGCCATCAACACCCAGAAATCACAGCCTCTGTCTTTTGTATGCCTCCTAGTGCACCAAATCACTGAGTCCTGAGTTTGTTCTTATTGCTGTTATTTATTTTTTGTTGCTTTCCCTACAGAAACAGTTCCTGGACCTGCCTCTTCATTCCACTTCTCTAGCTAGCTGTGCTAATTCAGTATGTCATCACCTGGGGCCTGGATTACAGCAACAGTGTCCCAGCTCTTCTGGCTCCCTGGATCTGTGCAACTTCCTGCAAATTTATGCTTATTTACTGTCCTTTTCCCACCTGGGATTCCCTTTTGGGAGAAGCTGGTGGGAGTCCCCACTTTCTGTTTACCCAATCAATACTGGGCTCTGCACCCCGGCCTTCCAGGCCCCAGCTCTCTATGGTTTCCTCTCCTTGTCGGCCTTTTATAGACTGAGGCAATCCAATTTCTATTTGCCCGTCCCTGGGCCTCATCCCTGCTGCTGGCTGCGTCAGCCCCATCTTTGCATTTGCCCTGAGTCCCTAAGTCCCTTCCTCCTCCTCGGGGTTAATCCAGGTCCCTTGCCTCCTTCAAAACCCAACCCACTGGAAGATAACACCGTGAACCGTGGGGGTGGAGAAGGCCGTTCCAAGGGGAAGGAAACAAAAGAGGAAAACACAAATTGTTCAATAGATTCGATTACACAAGAATGAAAAGCTTCTTTATGTCAAAATGTCCTATAAACGAAACAAGAGAAACTAGGAAAATGTTTGCTACATGTAATAAAGTTAATATTTTTAATATAATTTTACAAATCAGTGTGAAACAGACATTCCAAAAGCAAATGAAGAAGAGATATTAGTGTATCACACATGGAACAAAGTAGAAGAAGCCAGAAACATAGAAAGCCATAAAACCTCAGTAGTATTAGAGAAATGCAAACTAAAATAACGAGCTTCCTTTCCTTTTATCAAATGGGCATTTTTTAAAAATGAGTTATTCTATTCATTTTTTAAATGTTGATATGAGTGCAAGAACAGGATCTTTCACACATGCTTTAGGAGGATGTTTTTTATACTTTTTTAAAATAGCAAAAGTTTGAAAAATCTTACTACCTTTTTACGGTACAAATAGTGTTTTCCAGTTTTTCTACAATAAATATAGATCCTTTTTATGATTAACAATATAAACAAATGCATTTTAAAAAAAATCCTATAAAAATTAAAGATAGATGAGGAGAGAGGAGAAGGAGAGTACCTTATCTTAATTCAAATGATCAGCAGGGAGTGTGTTTCTCCCTCTCCCTCTGCTCCTTCCTCCCACTCATGCTCTCTCTCTCTCAAATAAATAAATAAAATCTTAAAACAAAAAAACAAGCCAAATAGACCTGGTTTAGGAATCCATGATTACCACTAACTAGCTGTGATTAACCTCTCAAGCCTAGAGACTTTGGCTCACAGGGCTGTGAAGATTAAAACACAGGAAAAGTGTGTAACTTGTTACCATAGTACCTGATGGGTTTTTTTTTTAAGATTTTATTTATTTATTTGAGAGAGAGAGCAAGAGGGAGACAGAGTGCGCGCACAGAGGCAGAGGGAGAAGCAGGCTTCCCGCAGAGCAGGGAGCCTGATGCAGGGCTCCATCCCAGGACCCTGGGATCATGACCTGAGCCAAAGGCAGACAGTTAACAGACTGAGTCATCCAGGCACCCCTGTAGTACCTGATGTTTTGTAAACATTCAGAAAATGGTGGTATCTGTGTTATTATTCTGCTGTGTCCTCAGCAGATAGTTTCAGTGTTCTGCATATAGTAGGTCCTTAATTAAAATATCTGACTGATGGTCTGATCTTTTTAATCTGTACCTTTAATTGTCTTCTCTACTGACCCTATTCTCTTTTTCCCTTCTTCCTTTCCTGTTCCCTAGCCCACATCTGTTCTCTCAATCTCCTTTCTCCTTCTCATTAAACTCCTTGTCTTATGGAACAATCTTTCATAAGTGTCTGAACAGCATTTTCAAAGCCCAACTCCAAAAGCCGCTGATTTGTCAGCCTTACCTGAAGGTTAGCAGCATTGACAATGGGTCCCAGTCTTCTCTTCACTCTTGTTCTTATTTTATTAATACCTGGCTTGAAACTCATCTGTCCTCGGAATGCTGCCTATGTTTGACCACACCTGAGTCTGTTCACATGGGTGCTTCCTGGTGGCCGGTGATATGCTTGTCTGTTGGCCTTTTCTTTCCTCCAGGCAGAAGCTCATTTTATGTTCCTTATGATCCTTCCTGCATGTTTGCGTTCATCAGTCTTATGAATTAAGTTTATAGAATTTATTAGTCAGCCAAATATCCCCCCTTTCCTTCTTCTTGTTCCCCCTTTATCCCTCCCACTCCTTTACCCCACCCCCCAGAATATAATTATTATTCTTTTCTTTTCCTCTCACATAAATTTGTATTTACTCCGGGAAAGTAGGATGAATGCTTTTGTGCTTAAGACCCATTGGCCTGATATTGACTATATGTCCTTGTATTTTTTAAAAAGATTTATTTATTAATTTGAGAGAGAGAGAGAGGGAAAGAGAGAGCGCATGAGCGGGAGGGGCAGAAGGAAGAGGGAGAGGGAGAGAGAAACTCAAGCAGACTCTGTGCTGAGTGCAGAGCCTAACATGGGGCTTGATCTCACTACCCTGAGATCATGACCTGAGCCAAAACCAAGAGCGGACACTTAACCGACTGAGCCATGCAGGCACCCCAACTATATGTCCTTGTATATTTTCAGAAACATACACTGAACACTTTAGAGCAACTGATAAGAGAGAACAACAGGAGAATGGGACCATGTGACCAGCACAAGATCTTTCCCTCCATATCCTTGTAACTCTTGAGGTAGTGAGTATGGAGTTTGTCATTAGACCAGATTTGGATCTGTTTCCAGTACTGTACTCTCTGAGCTTTAGCTTCTTTGACTGTAAAAAGGTGATAACATCTGTCTCAGAGGGTTGGAATTAAACGTGTGTAAAGCATAAGATACAATCTAAGTCAGAGTAGATACAAAGGCATTCTCTAACACAAAGGGAAATGTGAATTTCCCCTTCTTTTTCCCAGGTTTATTCGTTCCGTGGGGTTTTATAATTCAGTGGGGGGAAAAAAACAAGACTTACATAGATAAACACTAAATACAATCAAAATTAATTTATCAAACACGTAGCACTTCCTATCGCCACCTATTCTACTGATAGCACTTTGTAAGCATTACCTCATTTAATCCTCCTAACAGGTACTATTATAACTCCAATTTTAGGATGAGGAAACTGACATCCCTACAGTTTCACAGTTAGTAAGAAGCAGAGCAGGGAATGTAGTACCAGTGTTCATGCTCATAACCGCTGTGTTCTACTTTTCTCACTCATGCCTCACACATAGTAGGAACCAAAGAGATATTCAAGTCTTTCCTTCTAACTCCTTTGACCAAAGTAAAGAGAACCACCACACACTCCCAGGAAAGCACTCCTTACCTATTCTTTGGTCAAAACTGTTAGCTGCTTTGCACATAGGCTAAAATTCCAACCCAGTCTGGTGCAAAGGAGCCGGGGAAACTGGGCTGTCTTCTACTGTCAAAGGTCTAATTCCCCCAGGGCCAGCGACTCTGTAATAATAAACACCCCAGGGTGTGAAGAGGATGACGTTTAGAGTAAATCTTTGGGACACCAAGTTAGTCGCTCCAACTTAAAGCCATGATAAGGGCCGGAGAGCATTTTGTTCTAGGTAGTCTGTGGCTCTATCCATCAATTTAATGATACCAAAATACCTTGAAGATAAAGACCAATTGTAAAACATCTGGATTCTGGTTATATTTAACTCTGATTCAATAATGTTAACATCTCACCTTGCTGGGTAGGTTTTGCTCTGTGTGCCTCTGAAGACATTCAACGATGTGGCTGGAAATATGGTTGACACCTCTTACGTTGATATTTTTTAGTGAAATCATTAGGGACACTGACTTTTCTTGAAGTAAGCAGTGTAACCACTAGAATTTCCACACATTTATATTTTCTTTTTTTTTTTAATTTTTTTTTTCAAGATTTTATTTATTTATCAGAGAGAGAGAGAGACAGAGGCAGGCAGAGGGAGAAGCAGGCTCCTTGCTGAGCAAGGAGCCCGATGTGGGACTCGATCCCAGAACCCTGGGATCATGACCTGAGCCGAAGGCAGAAGCTTAACCGACTGAGCCACCCAGGCGCCCTGCACACATTTATATTTTCAAGAAGAACCTCTACTCTATTCAAAAAGAGATTCTAAAATTATTCCATTTCAAGGCATGTTTTTAATGAGAAAAATTTCTAGTTCCAAGGTGAGGACTGAGCACTTAGCATAAGAACAAATGGATTCTGAACCCTCATTAATCTATATATCACCTACTTAGACTTGTGGTGATAATTTTGACTGGGTTTAGGGTAAATTTACCTTAGCTTAGCAAATACTTTTCCTGTAAGACTAATTCACGGTATGAGGTTCCTGGATATTTAAGGGGTATGAAATGAAAGTGGTAACTTTGGGTTTGTAATGGTCGACTCAGTGGGACAAATCAGCTCTGATGGTCCATCACAGATGGTCTTGACTATTTAAAAAATAATGAAACAAGTAATTATTGTGAATTAGTATAGTTTGGTTAACAATATGTTTCAAAATCTGGGATCCATGATGGCAGGGATAAGGTCTATGTGTACAAAGAAGGAGAGAAAGAAAGAAAGGCCTAAATGGTGAAAAGTTTGGGAATTACAGTCTCAGGGTATAAATTAATAAAATCAGCAAAACCACAGAGGGTGTTCAAAATATAGTGTAGTTTTATGTATATTACCAAATAAAAATGGACAAAAATAACTGAAATATAACAGTGGTTCTTTTTAATTTGTAGTCTATGGGAAATTAATCTTTTCTTCTTTTCTGTTTTTCCAAATTGTATTTAATTTAATGAGTATGCAGTAATTTATAATTGTAGCTACATATAATTTTTGTAATTAAAAAGTTAAACCATGATTTCTAAGCAAGTATTTTAGAAAATACTATACACACTTTAGAAAATAATCTGTACACATGTATACCCTATTCTTAGCTGTTTCATTTAATCAAGGTCCTTAAACCTCTACCTTCCCTCTATTTCACCTAGTTCAGACCTACCTTCCTCATTTAATGCTTTTAATGGTGGGCATTTCTATA